AGTGCTAAAGAGCTGAAATACATGGTCAGTTGACCATCTGCTTAGTCACTTGCTGTTGGGTGACTACTATGTACTGTTCTATGTACATGCTCCTGCTATGTAACTATCCCTACAATTAATTTTAAAGCATGTCTCACACTTTTAGAAAAATGGGAAATAAAAATAAGTGTCACCATGAGTAAGCAAGCAGTCTTGGTTTGTTGGTTTGTGGATTTTGATACATTTGATGTTCCCAATTGACTTTGTCTTTTGTGATTGCTGATTGGATTTCCAGGTAGGTGGACTCATACATCATCATAGAGGGTATGGCCAGTTAGGATAGTAACAGCTACCTAAAAGGGTTGCAGAAATCATCAGATGATTATGCTTGCCCCCCACCACCAATACAGACACAAATTTACTGTTGGAGAAACTTTCCTGTGAGATTCAGAACTGAGAGGTTAGATATAACAGAACCATTGGAACATCACTTAAAATTCCTCTGCAGTGATAGATATAGTCCACACCTGTTACTTCTGGTCCCAGCTAGAAATGGGAAAAGAACAGAAATTGTGGAACTGTTTGGTTTCATCCAGACTGGGGCTTGGAAGTTCATGAAAAAGAAAGATGAAATATTTCACCCAAATATTTCAGAATCTTAAAAAATGCTTGGTTGATATTTTTCTAAAAATTGAAGAGGCTTTGGGAATGAATATGATATTTACTTTTTTCTCAACCAGCTTGCCCACTTATATCCCCTAGATATCATGGTGACTCAATACTCTAGAAATCCAAAAATAAGATTAGATGAAAAATAAACAGGCTGCATGGCTTTGATTCTGGCAATGATGTATTTTATATAACACTGTGGATTTTCTTCAATTAATATTGTGCATTGATTTGATACATGAGCTTTTCTTTTCTTTGAGGAAGAAATTTATTTGGGTAGATACTGTAATATCAGAAGAGCTCCCATTAAATTCACAGCGTGAATTTCATTTCATTGGGTAATGAATATTTTTGTAACTAGCACTCTCTACATATTTCAGCATTTGAATGCTCATTTCAGCACAGAACCATGGTACTTCTGAGTTTTTAAATTGAACAGCCCTCTATGCAAAAAATCATTTAGGATTCTAACAGATGTACTACTTTATTTAGGCAAGAGCAGTCTCTTTGTCTGTCATTTTGCAGATGACGTGAAAGCTTTGAATGGAGCCTTGGCATTATCTGTTTGACAATAATTTGATGGAACACTACATTGTGGTATAAATTAGTGTCAAGAAGCAAAATGTTAATGATAGGGGCCCTTCCATGCTCTGGTGACTTAAATAGCATGTTTCTTTAAAAGCTCAACAATGACTCACTCCCTTTTTAAATAAAACTCTTCTGTGCTATTTAAATATGTCATGTACTTCTGGTGAATATTTTCTGTGATTGCAAGTCCTTTAGTGTTGACTTGAATAGGTTCCAAATAAACTGTTGAACATAATACTGATATATTCTCTGAAATATTTTACTTTTTACACCATGCTATTATTGAGAAATGTTTGATCATTAAAATGAAATGGTGTTCACACAGTACAGCAGGCAGAATTAAAGTTGAAAAAGCTTTTTTGTCCCACCTTGGAGATGACATCAGACCTGGGTAGACTCAGGAGTGGAATTTTATATTCACTTTGTGAATTGAATGTTACAATTTAAAATACAAATAGAAAAAGTAGACATAGCACTGAGAGAGTTTCTGATGGATTTGTGGACTCTATTGGCCCATGCAATTCATGGTCAGATCCACATTTGCTGTAAACTGGCATAGCTATGTTGAGCTCAGAGGCTGTGCGATCTTCTGCAAAAGCAGTCGCTTTTGTGCCAAAACTTGCTGCCTGTCTACACTGGCTGCGAGTTCTTGCACAAGAACACACGTTCTAATGTATGAAATCAGTGCTTCTTGCACAAGAACTATGATGCTCCCGCTCAGGAATAAGCCGTCTTGCACAACTGTTCTTGCACAACAGGCCAGTGTAGACAGGCAACATGAATTTCTTGTGCAAGAAAGCCGTATGGTTAAAATGGCTATCAGAGCTTTCTTGCGCAAGAGAGCGTCTACATTGGCATGGATGCTTTTGTGCAAAAGCACATCTCTTGCACAAAGGCACATGCCAGTGTAGATGCTCTCTTGTGCAAATACTTTAACGCACTCTTCTGCAAAAGAGTTCTTGAGCAAAATCATGCCAGTGTAGACGTAGCCAGAGGGTCTGGCTTCAGACGTTTTAGAAGTCATTTCTCCATGCTCCTCACAAACAAATATAAAGAAAGAAAATATTTCTCCCTAGAATTCAGATTAAATTTCCATCCTACTGTAAATCAGCTTAATTTAGTTCTGTTTTCAAACTGATATGTCAGTCTGATATCATAGGGCATATTTTTCCCGCATAGATGTACATTGCATTCTGAATTCTATATAGAGCCAAACTCACCATGAGCAAAGTAGTACCAATAAAGAAGAAGAAATTATTGGTTTATTATGCTTTTTTAGAACTTAATGCCCAGGGCACATATGTGCTAGCTGTTAAAGAAACAACAATAATTAAATGTCAGTATCCAACATACCTTTTCCTCCAGGATCTCACCAGAAACAAAGAGCTTCCACCAAACCTAACCAAACCAGCTACTACTACCCAATATTTAGGAAAAACCTGGGAGAGCACATAAAGCCTTTGCAGCCTGACCTGAAGATGAACACATCTGCTATGTCTACGCTGCAGGCTTTTTGCGCAAGAACAGCTGTTCTTGCACAAAAACTAGCAGAGAATCTACACTGCACGCATGTTCTTGAGCAAGTAAATTTACTGTAAGGCGTCAGAACAGAGGGCTCCTTGTGCTAGAGTTATTCCTCTCCCCATGAGGAATAAGCCTTCTTGCACAAGAGCTCTTACGCAAGGCAGTGTGGATGGGCAACAGGGGTTTCTTGAACAAGAAACCCATATGGCTAAAATGACCATCAGAGTTTTCTTGTGCAAGAGAGTGTCCACACTGCCATGGAAGCTCTTGTGCAAAAGCACATCTCTTGTGCAAAAGCACATGGCAGTGTGGACACGCTCTTGCACAAGACCTTTTGTGCTAGAACTCTTGTGCAAAACAGTTTTTGTGCAAAAAGCTGCAGTGTAGACGTAGCCCTGGATTCTTATGATCCAACGCAGGAAGAGACTCCATAATGGAGAAAATTTGCTTCTAACCCCCTTAGAGATAAACCATGGAACTGTTTGTCTGAGCACTTTAGATGGCGTCAAATGCCCACGTATTGAATGGAGAGAGCCTGTATCTGAAGTATCCAAAGTTCAGCTAATTTAAGGCTCAATAGATTAAAACTAACATATTTAATTGCACCTGGAAATGAATTGAAAACAGGGGGATCAACAGTTTCAGTGCCCCCCCCCCCCATGCAAATTGTGTGTGTGGCCAGGTCTGGATCCCTGGCATGGGTGGCACCTTGGATGAAGGGGGTGGGGCCAGGGGCAGCTGGCTCTCAGAGCTGCCTGAACTGCAGCACTTTGGCAGCAATTTACAGGGCCTGGGGCTCCGGCTACCACTGTAGAAATGATGGACCCTGGGGCAACTGCCCCCTTGGAAGCTTCCTGCCAGTGGGCCTGACTGGAAGTGAGTGCTGATCACAATGTGCCCATGTAATATTATTTTTTTTGTATCATTGCAGCATTACAAACAGGCATAGTCTGCATTAGTGGAAATTTCAGAGTGGTCTTAAACAATCGCTTTACAGGTTACACTGTAATAACTGAGCTGATAAAAGCATGTATTCCTGTGGCAAAGGTGGCACCTCCTTCCACGTGGTACACATAATAATGTGTGCACTTTGGGCCTGACTACTGCCTGTACACCAAGAAGAACATGGAAGCAAACTCCCATTGTTTTCAATGGCCCCTGGGCTTGCATATTTGAGGGCACCCAATTCATCAGCCCTAAAATGCATGCCCTTGGCTCCCATTTGTTTTGATACAGAATGGAATTTGCCTATCCCTAATTTCCATGCAATGCAAACATAACAAAGTAATGACAAGGTAGGTTTTGTGCACCTTTGCATAATCAGGCCTTTTTCCACACTGAAATCAGTCCTATTGCAACCATGCCACAAGGGGTGGAGACCTGAAGAAGTAAATGAACCTTCCCCATTCTGTTTCCAAGATTACATTGTATCTCCTCCTAAAGATGCTCTTTAGCTGTTCTCTTACAATGGCTCTTATATCCTGAATATGCATGCTGTGTGGATGACCATTGAAAAGTTGATGCTTCATTGGGAAGTTAAAAAAGTAGTATGTAATCAATGGCAGGGCAAAGTACAGTTTCAAGAGCGTAATCTGTTGATAGCAGGAATTGGGGAGATTGAGGAGAAGGAAAAAGAGAAAGACACCAGGAAAAAGAAGAGATGGTAGATGAGGACAAAAGAGTAAAGATTGGAAGAAGAAATAAGAGGAAGGAAAATAAGAGAATGGGAAAGAAGAGATATAATAATTGTATGAAATAAATCTGTAGAGGCTTAAGCGTTATTGTTCATGATCGTATTTCTAATGATTGCTTCTCTTCTAATTTTGTAACTTTAGCAGCAATTCTGTTATCTTATTGTTGTGACTAGATAAAAACATACCAGAGCATAAGACATTTCCAATGAACATATTCAGGAAAAGGCAATCATTCTTAGGGGTTTTCTTACAATCTTATTTCCTTTCCTTTGACTAATGTGCAGTTGACTCAGTTGGTGCTTTCCGTTTAGTAATTATGGTTTGCTACTCTAAATGGCCTTCACCCATAAGCAACCTTTTACCTGAAACAGACCTGCCATGAAGCTGTGATAATGGAGGAGCACATATCTGCCCATCCTAGGTAAAATGTATCCAAGTGCAGAGGTGAAGTAAATTAAATTTGCTCCTATTTCTCCTTCCACTAGTATTATTGCACACTCAGAAGACCATAATTGCTCCAAACACTCACATATTAGTAAACTTTACCTTAGAGTTTCACCAGACGATCCCCTTCTTTTCCATAGGTTGACCAGGCTGCTTGAGCGGCTTGCAGCTGAAGATGACTTTCCATCCCCTACGTGCATGCGGACCACAGTCGACGTGGTGAATGCGCTGCGTACATTCCTTTCTGGCTTAGCGAGGATGATGTACACCTTTGGCACAAACATGCAGCCGAGGGCCACGGTGGCACTCAGGCTTACAGAGAAACACATGGTGATTATCTTGTAGTTGCTTCCAAAATATATGGGCACAAAGGCCAGCCAAATGATGCAGGTGGTATACATTGTAAAGGCGATATACTTTGCTTCATTGAAATTAGCTGGGACATTTCTGGTCTTAAATGCATAAAAGGTACAACTTAAAATTAATAATCCGTTGTACCCAAGGGGAGTTACGACACCCAAGTTGGTGGTGTTACAAATCAAGTAGACCTCTCGGATACTTGGATAATCATGCATTATATCTGGGGGCTCCATTATGAAAAGGGCAACAATTATGCCTAACTGTATACATATTAAGATAAATGAAATAACCAGCTGGGCACAGGCACTCATGAACCTAGGTTTCTTTGTACAGATTTTCTTCTTGCTGCCAGCTAGAATTCTTGCAATGCGATTGGTTTTAGTTACTAGGGCAGAGTAACTCATAGCCGGGGACAGACCGATGCCAATTCTTTGAAGGTAACAATAAATCTGTTGAGGCTTTGCAATGAGACAGAAAGTACACAAGTAACCCAAGCAGATGCCAGCGAGAATAATATAGCAGAGTTCTCGGCTGGATGACTTGACAACTGGGGTATCACGGTACATGATGAATATAGCTGTAACAAACAGGGTGGCCAGTAGACCTAGACAGGAAAAAACAACAGCTGCTATTGGTTCAGGATCGCCCCATCTGAGGTACTGGACTGGGATGAGGTCACAACCTGTTTTAAAAGAAAAAAATGGCAAATTGAAATACAAACAGTCAGATTTGTACAATTTCAGTTTCTTCTGCTAATTTTAGTCTCTCCAGATTTTTCCCAAGATATATAATGCTAAGATGATATTACCAAAATGGCACGTGAGCTGTTTTTCAATGCTATTTTATTTTAGTGACATAGATCATCTTATTTTGAGCCCATGATGACGCCTGTCAAAAATGGCCAGGAGAAGCAGACAGAGTGGGAAATGCAAAAGCACTAAGCATTGGCCTACTTGAGTTGAATTCAGTGGGAGGAGAGTTAGGCCAACCAGAAACCTATAGTCATGCTGTGTATTTTGGCTTTTTATATTTAACTAGCCAATTAGCCTGTCATAAGATGGGATTTTCAGGTCTCTCCTCCACCTTGGTCTTCTCTCCTGAGCCTCCGGTCTCTCACTCCATCTCTCTCTGTCTCTCCTCCTACTGCCTCCCCCTCTCTCTCTCAGCTCTCCTCCTCCTCCTGTGCCTTCTGCCTCTCTCTCCATCTCTTTCTTTCTCATCTCACCCTCCTGCCTCTCACTGTCCCTTTTTCTTCTCCTCCTCCTCCTCCTGCCTCTCTCTCCCCACCCCCCTTTCCCTTCTACTTCCCCTTCCCCACCCCCTCCTGCTGTGCTGCTCGGCTGAGTGCTGCCTGCTCAGCTGGGCCGCCGTGGGGGAGGGGGG